GCAAAGTGAATTTCAAACTTGTTATCTTGCTGCAGACTTGAAAACCTCATTTGGTCTGTCAGGAGCTGGAAAGTACCACTTTCTCTCTGTATTTCTCTGGTAACAGTCCAAATGAACAGCCTCCCACAGATCCCAGGCAGATCTGTGCCCCAGGCTGACAATGGAGAAGGTCAGGTACATGGACAGGCAAACAGAAAAGCACACTGACTATTTCCAAAAAAGATTAATTTCCCACAACTGGAACATACGCTATGTAGGCTTTCATCCACTATACTCACTGACCATGAAAGTGAAGGAAAATTGTGATTTTTTGCATTGATAGAAAGGAACAGTGATAAAAAGAAATCAGACATGAAACACTGCACTTTAGTCCAGAAGAAATCTGCAGTTACAAAAGTAGAAGCCAATGCTATCAGCAGATTTCCTGAAAAATAACAATTAACAGTGAGAAAGTAGAAAAGCATGACAAACCATGAAGGTATACTGGTTAACTGGACACATAGCAGAGGGGCCCAGCATCTCCAGCTGAAACTCAACCAGTATTCCCAACTGTGGCTTAAATCTTCGTGAAACTCTTGCATTACGTCCAAGAATCTAAAATGGCCTTAAGTAGACAATTGTATTAAATCCAGTTTCCTGTATCCATGTGTTCTTTCAGAACCTTTTACATTATACCTCATCAGTTTCATCTCTCTGATTCTCCTCAAAACCCCTTTTGTATTTATCAACCTTCACATGGCAAGTGCAGCATCCTACCTCCCTGCCCTTCCTGGTTGTACCATCCAAACAGGAAGTCTCTTCCTTGACTTCCTTCCTGTCAATTTATGGCCACTACCTTCCCTAAGCCTGGCTTAAAACCCAGAACTTCCAGGAATTCACTTTTAGGTTAATATGCTCCTTTGTAATGGTTCTAATGTAGTATTTTGTACTTGTTCTGATGTATTTTTCTTTCCTTCAGGTATGCTAAAGGCTCTCAAAGACGTTAAAGAGACTTACCTCCACGCCACCCTCCAAACACGACACTGTGCTTTATCTCAAATATTTAGCAAATCCTTTTCACTTGACCTGCTTTCTTAATTTATTTTTATCTACAGAGTATGGTGGGAGGGTCAGATTGGATTAAAATATTTCTAACCTTATTTCTACTTCATTCCAGTTTTCTAACATTTTTGTCAAAACACTGAGTATCTGTTTCAGACTGCAAATAAAAGCATGTATCTTCTTTATAAAAGAGAAATCTGTAGTTAGGAGGAGCTTGTTTTTGAATGTGTATGGGTGGTTTACAGTCACCCAAACATGAGGCCTTTGTGATGAGTGATGGCGGCTTTATATAACTGAGCTTAAACTATTTGTTTGTTTTTTGAGCCATGACTATGTGCTCGGTGCTAGATATGCAAGATGAGCTGTGAGGGGAGTGATGGTTAACACATCCTGGGCCAGGCCCTGGGCCAAGAAATTTTGCATGCATTACTTTACTAGGCTTCTCAACAATTCTGTGAAACGGCCAGTATTAAAAACCCCACTTTACCTTTTGGGGTAGGATACAGCCTAAATCTGTAATGAGATGTTTTTGTGTGCCTCCCCTTAAAACGTTTAAGAGGTAAGGAGATGGGAAGGAGTTCTTTCTGCCTTGACTAGAACAGCAGAGGACAGGGTAGAAGGGTTTGTAAAGGAGGGAGGATCGGGAAGACTGGATCAGGGGAGAGGAAGTCCAGAGCAGAACTTGTAGATGTGAAGCGATAGCTCATCACTGTTTGCTTTCTTGTTGCCAGGGAATCAAGCACACACAAAATAAGCAGTGTTACTTCCTTTCCACCTGTGCCCCTGACACTTGGCTTTCTCCGTAGCTGCTTCTCTATCGAGGAGGTGTATCAGATAGACACTGAAGGGACAGAGTAGGGTTGCAGGGTCCCTACCCTGAAGAGGTTTCCAGACAGTCGGGAAGAAAAGTGGACACACACATGATTCAAACCAGTGCAGGGAACTACACCCAAAGTCTCGGAAATAGACGAGAAATGATTAACTTCTCAGCTATTCACTCTTCTGCTTCTTCTGGTACATTTCCTTTCTCCTTCCCTCATCCCGCTGACTGGTGCCTTTTCTGTCTCGAACTGACTAACAGGGCAATTCCTCAAAATCTTCATCAGGTCCTCTGTTCACCCTGCTCACATTCCTTAAGCAACCTGACCAGCTCTCATGACTTCAGTTCCACATTCTCAGTGTGGACTGCAAGATCTCTCTCTGTTGAAGCCTGATTTCTCATTTAAGATATATGAGAACTTCGGGGAAACACTCAGGTCTCCTCACAGGCCACACTACAGTATCCCAACTACTCAACATGACATTGCCGGCACTCGGTTTCCAGTCTCCTCCCCAGACAGGACTTTTGTTTTTTGTTTGTTTGGTTTTTTTTTTTACAACTTACCACATTTGTTGACCGGCCCTACCAGAGTCTTCTAGGCCCCAAACTCAAAACCTGACTCATTCCCAAGTGTCATCCCCTTTGTCCTGTCAGCCATCATATCCTGCTTAGAATCCCGTCAAAAGTCTCCTTGCATTGGTCCCTTCCTCTTGCTTCTCATTGCGGCCACCCAATCTTGGACTTGCATCACCTGGGGCTTTAATGAAAGATCTCCGAACAGATCTGTCTGTCTGTCTGTCTGTCTGTCTCTCTCACACACACACACACACACACACACTCACACACACACACTGAACCGAAATTATAGCTTATCTGAACAGCTGTCTTGTCATGCTGCGTCTCTGCTTAAGGATCTACGGTGGTTATCTGTTAGTCTCCCAACCCTCTGTGTTCTCCATGACTGTGCCCACTTTGTCTACCCAGTGCTGGCCCACACTCCCTCAGAGTAAAACTGAAGCTCTTCAGGCTGTATTATCAGACCAGGTTGCAGCACTACTTGGTGATAAAGATCCTGAAGAAATTATTCAAGTAGGGAGAGTCCTAAGGGAGCTGAGAAGCATCCCCCCTTTCTGTAGATTTTAAAGCAGTAAGAGGTAGATGTGTTTGGATGTTTTAGATGTGGGAGCCAATGGATGATCTTGCTGTGTCCCCTTTAGATCTAAGTGTGTATCTGTCCACATGAGTTGCAGTTTTTCTAGTGAAGAGATCTGGAAAGCCTTTAACATTTAAGCCAAAGAGGTAAGTACTCCATTAACCTTATCTGGCTGCATCGTTTCCACTTAATAATGAGATGCGCATGTTTCCTCTAGATCGGGCCCAGTACACCCTATCAGGAACTTGTGTTAGATTTGTGACTCCAGTTGGTACCCTTTACTGTTTTTTTCCAACCTCTGCTTCAATTAGAAATCATGTTCCTTTTTCATGTATTCTGTCAAGCATTTTTATATACCTGTTTGTGCATTAGTTGAGAATCCCTTGTCATTTAGGGAATAATTCTTTTTCTCAAAAGCACTTGACAACATTGCTGTTACTCATCGTCTTCCTGTGAATCAGACCAGCAAGCCCTACCTTGTCCTTTTCACGTCATATGGCCTTCCCTCTCTAAAGGCAGAGTTTTTCCTTGAAACACTGGTCAGAATTCTGGTACCCTTCCCACCAATCTCCTAGAAAAAGTCTCCCAGAGGGACAGACTGACCATTCTATGAAGAACAGAAGCTACAAAATTAATGGGAATGTTGATTCAAGGAAGGAATCAGGTTTTTAAAAGGAGATGTTTTAAGATTCATTTCAGCATGGGTGCCTAGATGTTTCCCTTCTCTGTGGCAATATTTGTGGGGTTTTTTTTACCATTTTGCTTTGATTCTGGAGCAAAAAGTTACACTTATAAAGAAAGCACTCACTTCAAAGATAAATCAACTGACTATATGTCAGCAGAAACTCTAGGCTTACTTTTCATTCTTTGATCTTCCTTCAGTGATTTCACTGACCAATTATTGAGTGACCCTGTTGGAACAGTTATACAGGTTAGTCGGGGAGATAAGACATACATTCATCAGAGAGAGAGAATATGTGTGATGGCGTAGTGTTCAGATGAGTAGTAGAGTCCATGTACGGCATTTCCCTAGATTCCTATCGTCCCAGAACTTCATGGGGACATGAAGTTCCACCTAATTTGGGAGAACTTGCCTCTTTATTCTAAACTAAATGTATTTCTATCATAGTTAAAATTGCATAAGCCAGATGCAGGAAGGATCTCTAATAATAACTACTCATACTCTGAGCATTCCATTTTCTTCATCTTCCACTTTTTAAGTCACAGCCTGTGTGCTGTGAGAGAGGCATTATAAGGAGGGAAGCAGAGATTTCCAGAGTTTGGTTCACACGTGGTCACATCGGAGTGCCTGACACAACTGGGCATAGACTGACTGGAGTCAGGAACTGACTGGAGTCAGTTCCTGCTGACTCCAAATCTAGTGTCCCTTTCAGCCCGAGCTTGACTTAGTAGAGAGCTGGTTTCGAGACCAGTCATACCAGCCAAGCTTTCTGGCCGGAAGACAGCAGGAAATAAGCTTGAAGTTACTGCTGGATACTAAGGCTCTGCTTACGTTTAGGGAAGATAACAAGAAAAAACAAGCATTATAATGACTACCCTCATACAGGAAAGCTAGAGATACTGCCATGTTTTGGAGAGATGGTGTGTGTGTTTGTGTGTGTCTCTGTGTGTCGTGTGTCTGTGTGTCAAGAGCACACACTCAACACATGCATGCTCAAAACCAGCAGTGTGTCTGCTTCTAAGATTTTTCCTGCCTGTCTTTCCACCACTAAACCTCGGTTGGAAGTGATGGGCTAGGTTTGCGCTGTACTTCTGCAGGATACTTTAATCCAGCAGCTCTCCTCCAAGTCAGCACCTTACAGCACCTTCCTCATTGTTGCAAAATACTCCCGCGGTTTCTTTGTGCTCTGCTTTAGAAGTTTTCATCCTCCACTTGGTGTAACTCATTCTCCAAACATGTGTCAGTTTCCTCCCACACTGATGTTAGGCAACCTTGAGGGCACACAGCTTAATAAGAGACAGCAATTTCAAGAAAAAGAAATCATAGATTTATGTAAGTAATAGGTATAAACGTGTAGATATCAACATGTAACATTCCCCCAAGGCATTTCCTGGCTATCTGGCCATCTCATGGTACTATTTTACATAAATTGGACAAGCTGGCTTGCCTTACTCTTCACAAGCTTACATTAATACTGTCATTCAATCCATTGTAATGAAAGAGGCAGAGCAATACTTCAATTAGCAGGTGACTTTAGGTGTTAGCATTCGCCCATTCGGCAAATCTTTTGAGCCCCTACTCTGTACACAGCCCTGGGGATCCAGTGCTGAGCCACACAGACATGATCCCTGCCCTGGGGGTGGATCTAATAGGGAGATAGGCATGCAGTAACTATTTCATATAGACGAATATGGAATTTAAAATCATGACATATTCCATGAAAGAATCGACAGGATTGGAATACAGAGCCCACACAAAGGGACTGGTCTTGGTAGGAAGATGAAAGAGGGTAAGGGTGGGTGTAAATGATGGAAAGATTGTGGATATGATAATAGGAAAATTAGGGAGTTCCCATATGGTGGCTCCAGTTTTCTTGAAGTATCAGGAACAGATATCCCCTGAGAATAAAGGGAAAAAAGAAGAGTTGGGTTTAAGAAGACAGGCAAACGCATGATATATTTGACTAAAGAAACATTTACTGCCATGAGTGCCTGAATGAGGGTAGTCATCAGGGCCACTGTGTACAGCTGTGCAGGCATTGCACAAGGTTGCCATACCTCAGAGGGGAACTGTTCACATCATAAACGTCATAGATTTATATACTTGTTATGGCAAGTTTCTGGCAGATGCCGGTAAATTACCTTGTTCTTGCAAAATCAAGATACCACCACAGCTTTCTGACAGAGAAGCCAAGTGTCTTGAGGAAGGGATGTCTCGTTCTAATTCACACACAGGCACCACGTGAGATACTTGTATTGTTACTCATGCAGTTACAAAATAATACCTCTCTGCCCCAGTGGTTGATTTTTCTTCAGCAGCACACATGTTGCTGCAGGCACAGACATGGAGAAGATAGGAGATTCGTTCCACTCATAGTTGGTTCCTCCCATGGTTGGAGTTTTCTAGGAAGCTATGACATGAGTAGAAACAAGAAGTGCCAAAGTAGCCAAAGAGTGTTTGAGATGATGCCCATACAATCCAAGCTAGACAAAGAGGAAAGTGAGGGCAGAGGTCAGTGGATCTGAAGCATCAATGAGAATGAAGCCCTGGCTATTAGCTGTTATACTGGGGTGTTCCTGAGAAAGTGAGTCTTGAAGATAGGAAGCTGTGATCAAAGAGGATGGTATTTGATTGGTGATTTTGGAAGTAGGAAGTTTCTGGTGACGTCAAGGTCGTCGTGGGGCAGAGAAGAGTGCACTGTTGATATACTTAGTATTTGCTCATTGGGATAATAAGGAAACCTTGTACTTTCCCCCCTTTAATTGTTAATGTGCTCAAAATCTAAAACAGAAAAGAAATAATATCCCAAGAACTAAAGAGTATTTTTATCTCCATTTTCTGCATTTGAGCTCTAAAATACGGAAAACAGAAATTAAACAGAAACCATGATTAGTGTTTAAAAATAGTTTTATGTATACGTGCTTTCTTAGATGTTGCGTAACTATTTCTTAGAAATTACTAAGAGGATTTTAATTATTTTACTCTTTAATGATCTGAAAAATACTTTAGCTCTGTTATTTAGGCAAAACAATTTCAACATCTATTTTTTTAAGATTCTGTGGATTAGAGACATTGAAGGATACTTATGATTTATCATTCTAGAAACTTTACAGATAATTCCTCACAGTTTGACCTGTATTATTTCAGAATTGTGCTTCTTGGAATAAACACAGTATTTTTTGTGGTTTCCTCTATGGCAGAGGTAGAGGTATTGTACCTTTCTTGATGCCTGGTGACATTTGGAAAGGCTTGTTTTAAAAATAAGTGGTGTGTGTGTGTGTGTGTGTGTGTGTGTGTGTGTGTGTGTGTCTACATTATTGCTCAAGGGTAGAAAAGGGTAGTATCGAGACTCAAAAAATTACTTTTGAAAATAGGCTAGCACACTGGGAAGCTATTTAGGTGTGATAAAATATTAATTATCCTAAATACAGAAATAGTTAAAAAAATTAGAGTTAGGAAAGTATTTGAATAAAGGCCACTTTAGGGATAAAGTTGTGGCTTGGACATAGACATTTAGGGTACATTTAAGCTGAAGTCTGGGAAGTGAATAAAAATATCTTGTATTCAAGAGAGATCAGAACAATAACTTTCAATATGTCTTATGACTGTGTCTGGGATACAAGGATATCTTGTTCTTCCCTAATAGTCATGTTTACTTGATTGGATATTTGGATGCTGTTCCAGTTACTATGGCTGAGTAAATTACTCCAAAACTTAGTAGAATAAAACATCCATTTATCATGCTCACAGATTATGTGGGTCAGGAATTCAGACAGGGGACAGAAATGACCCTTGTGACTTCCAAGGCAAAGGACAATGCAGCTTTGGACTAGCTCTTTTTCTCAGGATGCTTGCCCTTAGAACCCAGCCAGCAACCAGCATCAAGCATCAGACAAGTGGGCGGTTTGGGCCTTCCTCACAGCATGGTAGCATCCCCAGATAAAGAGCCAGCTGGACGCTGCGTTGCCTTTTGCCTTAGAAGTCATACAGCGTCACTTCTGCCTTCTATTCATTAAGGCAGTTAGTTACAAAGCCTCTTCCATGTGTGACTGGAAATAGTACTGTGGCCATTTTTGCAAAATGCACTCTGCCACATGCACCTATGTCTATTCCTTTAAGCATTACACAAATCCTGAGACCCAGTGGCACACTCATTTAAAATATATATTATTTCCTGGGTTTGTGGTTACCAAAATGCTCTGAAAAATGAAAGAGCCCCAAGTACAGTGCCAACCCTCCCAGAACACCTAAAGAACAGTTTCCTCTCCTGACTATCCCAAACCTTCATAACCCTCCTCAATTTATGACCATGCCCCCTACTTCAGTGAGTACTGTCTGCTTTCTTACCATGCCCTTCCCATCAAAACCCTCAACAACAAGAACAAAAGTCTCCACTTTTTCACTGCCTTGTAATTCAGCCCAGCTACTCTCCTGAAATCTCTCAAGACTTCCCCATTCCAAATCCTATCAACAGTTTTCAGGCCTTATCTTAAGGACCCTCTTCTCTACAGTATTTTACAATGCTGACTACTCCTTCCTGCCTCAAAGGCTATGACCTTGGCTTTCTGAAACTCTATACCCTAGCCTTCCTCCTCCCTTTGCTCTCTTTCATTGCTCTCTCCTCCTTTGCCTACCATGTTAATGTTGGCCTTTCCAGGGTCCTATTTTTGGCTAAATATTCTTTTTAACCTTCATTATTTTCCTGGGTGATCTATTTGTGCTCCTGATTCAACTACAGGTGACTCTGATATCTTTCTCTCTCATCTAGCCCTCTCTCTCAAACCCATCCTAATATGCCTAACTACCAGTCGAGCATCTATACGTTCATGAGGAGATGGGCCAGAACATAAATACAGGGCATCTAAAACTGATTTCATCTCCTTGTTCCCCTGTATCACTACCCCATCACCTTACCCATAACAGCTCACTTCTTTATTCTCACTGAGGTTAAAAACCTAAGGAATATCTGAATGCCTCATTTTCTTGTACTTTCTATGGCTAACAGATCACCAGATTTATAGATTTTGACTTCTAAATATTTCCCAGATCCATGTTTTCTGTAAGCCTACCATTTTGGCTCTCCTTCGAGCTCTCCTGGACTACTAGTTTTTACCATGCCTCCCCGCTTCACGTCTGCCTTCCACACTACCCAGTGTGATCTAAACAAAACCCAAATCCAACCACATCACGTCTTTGCTCAGTGGCTGCTGAGGCCATAGTATTGAGTTCAAGCTCCTCAACATCCCACAAAGCCCACTGTGGTTTTGCTCTTGTCCAAATCTAGGGCCTTACCTCACACCAATTCCAGCCTCATATCTTATGCTGCAAAAACATCAAGGTGCTTAGTTTCCTCCAAACAATGAGCTGTTTCTTCTTCTCATTCCTTTGCTCGTTTTGTCTCCTCTGCCAAGAGAAAAACTGAGGTCAGTGTCAATTCAGCAAGTAGGCGGTTGATACTGCTACAGGCTCAGCCTTGGAACAGAGAATAGAAGTATGCAAGGGAAGGGGTGTGGGGTAGCACAGTGTGCAGGGCAGGATGGGTGGATGTTTGTGGCAATGGGTGATATTTGCTCAAACCACATTTTCTGCCATAGGCCATTAGCTTGTGTTCTACTTCCATATTTTGGCTTGTGGTAGACCACAATCAGTATTGTTTGTCACATACATAACTTACGGAAACTTTAGTTTTCAAAAGAAAATTCTTAGAAATATTTCATTCCAGAATATACAAAATATTCTTCTGACAAAGTTATCTCTTTTGGCAGACATTTTTGGTTGATGCCCCAACAACCATTTTCCTCCAAATGGTTGGTCTTAAGACAGTAGTTCTCAAAGTGTGGTCCCCAAACAGCTGTATCAGCATCACCTAGGAACTTGTTAGAAATGCAAATTCTTGAGCCCTACCTCTGACCTGTTGAATCAGAAATTCTGGGGGTGGGGCCCAGCAACCTGTGTTTTAATAAGCTCCTCCAGGTGATTCTGATGTATGCACAAGCTTGGGAATCACTGGTCGAAGACAGTCTTGATAATTTCACTCTCTTTGACACTAAATGGGGTTTTTTTGTTTTTTTTTTGCGGTACGCAGGCCTCTCACTGCGTGGCCTCTCCCGTTGCGGAGCACAGGCTCCGGACACACAGGCTCAGCGGCCATGGTTCACGGGCCCAGCTGCTCCGTGGCATGTGGGATCTTCCCGGACCGGGGCACGAACCCGTGTCCCCTGCATCGGCAGGCGGACTCTCAAGCACTACGCCATCAGGGAAGCCCAGACACTAAATGGTTTTTAAGAATTTGTAGCTTACCCAATTCTGGCTAGTGAGAGGAAGTTGATCAGGTTGGTAAGAAGGCTTCTGTGAAAAATATCCTTGCTCCTAAGAAGGATACTCAGAAAAAGATCACTCCTGGGAATTCCCTGGCGGTCCAGGGGTTAGGACTCTGCTTTCATGGTCGAAGGCCAAGGTTCAGTCCCTGGCTGGGCAACTAAAATCCCTCAAGCTGCGTGGTGCGGCCAAAAAATAAAAGACCACTCCTTGTGCTTACCTGGATATTGTCATGTCTGGATGTGGCCCCTGGAACTGCCTCAGCCTTCTTGGGACCATGAAGGGTGCCAGCTAATGGCACCCTTAAAGGCAATAGGCTGAGAATGGTAAAACAGGAAATTGGAAAGAATTTCAATCCTTTAGGACTTCCAGAGCCAATTTTGGAGGCTATCCTACCTCTAGGGTGTGAATTAATGTTTCCTAATTGTTTAATTCTGTTTGAATCAATTCTCTGATGCTTGTTAAAAAAAAAGAAAGGATGCATATACTTATTCTTTATATATACATGCATTTATTCATACCTAAAAACTCTTCCTTTGTTTTTATAGATGACACTAAATGGTGATTTTAATTACTTACCATGTTCATGAGGTTCTTTGAAACCATGTGAAACCCAGATGTCTCATTCACTTCCCAAATATAGTGGTCACGCTTCACTTTAACAGTCCAATAATGGTGCTCCAAACCCTTTTCCCATTTTTCCTGGAGGTACAGGACCTTCCCAGGAGTCCCAGCCCAAGCATCCTCGGGAATTCCATAGGAATGCTATGTTCCTCCAATCTGCTGTGGCTGACACTTGTGTCCTTAGTCAGCTGTCAGCCTCTAGTCTGCCAGGCACTTTCTGCAGGTCCTCCCTTGTCGTCCTGTAACAGAGGAGAATTATAATGCAGATGTGTGACTTCTGATGGAATTCATCCACCAGGTACCTTCAGAGTCCACTTCAGGAGGCTGCCTCTCCTCCAGACCCAGCGGGACCCCATGTCACAGAGATAGCTTCACTCTCCCACTTGGGAGCTCCAGGACAGACCCAGTGGGACCCCATGTCACAGAGACAGCTTCAGGCTCCCACTTGGGAATGCCAGGGCCCCATCTTGCCTCCCGCTGAGGTTCTCAGAGAAAAGTCTTACTTGCCTAAGGGGAAGCTGTGTTAGAGAGGTAATCCACCCACCAGGAAGATTAGCACTTACTTTATAATGCAGAGTACTTTAGCTCCTTCTCTCTCCCTTCTGCCTCCTTTCCAGAATATGTTCTTGCTTCTGAATAATCAAAGACCTACTAAAGTGCTTTCCTTAAGGACAAAGGAGCAATTTCTCCTCAAAGATGAATTCAGACCTCACTTTGAATGCATTTCCCACTTTTTGCCATCAAGGTTTTCAAAAACATGGGAGTTGAGTATTTGCTGAACCAGCACTTTGCTCAAGGATCTGGTGCTCTCCCAGGGGTGGTGGTCAGCATGGGGTTAGGGGTCATGAGGACCAAACTGGAAAGAAAGCAGCCAGTGGAGCCACCATGCCAGGGCTTTCAGGAAGAGCAGTGCAACTACACCTAGGGGTTTGAAAACTGGCTTATCTCATCTCTCCCTCAGCAGACAGAGCTCACAGCTTCCTAGCTGACTGCACAGCCACCCTCTGGGTCTACTGCTAATTGTCTGTCTCTTTCCATATTCCCCAGTTCAGATTTCCAGGAGAGAGAATTTGACTGGGCTAGTTCATCAAAGTCTTTTGTGTTTGAGCAGAGCTTTTTATACCAGATGACCTCCCAGGTTATTGACCCAGATGGAATGACTCCCTTGGGTCAGGTGTCAACCCCCAGGGCCAGTCACCTGTGTTGATGGCCTGGAGGTGGGGGTGAGGGGCAGGGTCACAGGGTAAACCACAAAGCTACTCCTCCTCAGGAAACAGGCTGGGGTTGCTCCTTCAGCAGAGGCTGTGAGTGGGGCAGTTTCCCTGGGAAGGAACCTATGGGCCTGGCCGGGGTAGTTATTGCAGTGTAAGCAGTACAATGCAGTCCTTTCTACAGGGGACACAGAAAGGCGGACTTTTTAAAAATTTTTATTGGAGTATGGTTGCTTTACAATGTGTTAGCTTCCACTGCACAACAAAATGAATCAGCCTTACACTTACAGATATACCCTCCTTTCTGGACTTCCCTCCCATTTAGGTTATGACAGTGCATTAGGTAGAGTTCCCTGTGCAAAGAAGGCTGACTTTTAATTAATGATTGACATCCACTTTTTGACCTTATCAAGTTGTCCTTTCTGACCCTCAGTTTCTTCATCTGCAAAATCAGACAGTCCATCTTAGTGATTTCTAAGGACCTTCCACTCAGGGCAGGTCCAGGTTTTACAAGCCCAGGCTTATATACTATTTGGAATTCTCTTTAGGAAAACCCCCCACAAAATTAGGTGTAAGGTCTCCAAAGGGACACTCACTCAAGCTTACTTAGTTTCATATAAATCCATCTCTGCTTCTATCCTTAAATTCTGTGGTTTCTTTTTGGTCATTGTTCTGAATCCTGTTCTGAATCCTGCCTACCTCTTGTGGTCACCGCCAGAGGCCTTGCTGAGGAACCACACACAGGCTGGTCTTCTGCTTCGTTCCCAAAGAACAGTGTATTCCCCCTAACGGTCCCTTTAACTGACTGTAGGCAATTTAGTCATTTGAGAGGGTAAAAAATTTGGTCCACTAACATTTCACCAATTTGAGATGTAGTATTCTTATGACATTGAAATTAATTAACATGGTTTTTACAGGAATCCCTTTACTTTCTCACTACTGCCTCCAGCTTACAATAGTTCAACTTAGGATTTTTCAGCTTTACAATGCTGCAAAAGCAATAGGGATTCGGTAGAAACCACATTCAGGTTTTGAATTTTGATATTTCCTGGCCTAGCGATGGGCAGTATGATCCTCCCTCATGATGCTGGGCAGGGCAGCGGCCACAGCTCCCAGACAGCCACAGGATCACAAGGGTAAGCAACCGCGACACTTACAACCATACTGGACCCATATAACCGTTCTGTTTTTCATTTGCAATACAGTATTCAATAAATTACATGAGATATTTTACACTTTATTATAAAATAGGCTTTGTGTTAGATGAGTTTGCCCAATGGTAGCCTAATGTACGTGTTCTGAGCATGTTTAAGGTAGACTAGGCTAAGCTGTTAAGGTAGGCTAGGTTAAGTGTATTGAATGCATTGTTGATTTAGGATATTTTCAACTTACATTGAGTTTATCAGGACATAATTGCATTGTACATCAAGGAAAAGATGGTAGCGGTTTATCTCAACTAAACTGTATCTTCAGGGTCTTTATATGTTGCAGTTTATATTTTTGAATTTGCATTCGTTGTTACCGTTGTATTGCACTATATCTGCTTCTTCACACACATGGATCAATAGCTCCAAAAAAATTCCTGGTAAAGTAAAATTTGAGACAAAAATATTGCTGTATTAACTCAGAACAACGAACTTTATAAATAATAATGAATAGTGCTCAGGGCACTACCCACCCATGCCGGGTGGGTGGAAGGGGGCTGTGATGTATATTTGCTGGGCCTGGGTTTCACACAAGCAACCAAAAAGGAAAAGTTCTGAAAGGAAGTATGGCACTATTGAAAAGCTGGATTTAACTGACTCATTAGTAAATCATCTGAGATGAAGCTTTGTCAAATGGGGGCAAGAACAGTTGTGGTTTTTTCATGACATTTTCTCCATAATGTTCAATGGCATATCTATTAAACTAACTGGGGGCGGGGGGAGGATTCCCCTGGAATAAGACAAAATGATGCTTTCTTTCTAGTATAAAGTTAATTGATTTTAGTAGCAAAAAGCCAAGAGGAGGAAAAACTGAGAGACGTGGCATTGAGAGTTGCACTCCTCACACTGATTCCTTAAAGAGCACAGCTTCTCAGTTCTGAGCCGGTAAAGTAGGGACTGGGTTTACTCAAGAAGCATGAACAATGGTTCAAATGCCTTTATTATCATGACTTTACTCTTTCCCAACACCTAATGGAGAACACAGTTGATGATACATATTTTGGCACAACTTAAAACCATATTTAAATACTGCGATAGACTGTAAAGGAATGTTTTTTAGAGCTCAATGTACAGAAAGACTGGATTGGAATATACCTGCCACCATATGCCAAG